AAGGCAGGCAGGAAGGAAGGCAGGAAGGAAGGAAGGAAGGAAGGAAGGAAGGAAGGAAGGAAGGAAGGAAGGAAGGAAACTTTGTTTCATTTTGAGACTTCTTCATACTTCATTTTCTCTTTCATTGCATGTTATCTTGGCTGAGATGGAAAAGATTTGGGACATAAGCATTAAGTAAATGCTCTCAGATTTGTATAGATGAGTGTAGTGCCAAGAACAGTAGAACAATGCAAGAATTATGTGAAAGAGGACAGAATCAGATCTCTTGTAGAGGAATGTTTTGCTTTTACAAACAATTTTGTCTCCATTATACTCAACTAATTTCACTTTGTGAATGAGATCAGTTTCCTTGGCAGTTTTATTCAAGCCAGAATGAGATTATTTAATTTTTTTTCTGGTCATTATTCATTCTTTCACAGGACAGTTGAGATTGGAAAGAGTCTTTAGAGGAGTTAAGCCTTCAACACAGGTTATTGGTACTAGATTTTTTTTTTATGCTAAAGGTAACGATTTTCTATTGGGGGATGCTATCCATACTTCTTTCTGGTGTATGTGTAAATTCTGGTTGGTTTATTCCTCATTAAATTAATAATGTCATTTTTAACATATACGTACATTTAAGATTCTTGGTCTCAGTGCTGCTGCCACAAAAGTTAGTAAGGTGTATATGACTTCTTGCAACTGGAGTTCAAAAGGTCCCCTCTTCACTCCATACAATGACCTATTTAGTCTAAAAAAAAAATTCATTAGGGCTCTGGTTTAGATTTGCTATTGCACTGCATATATTTGTTTGCATACCTGTATGGTGTTTGAAAAGTGACTAACCAGTGACTGCTCTAAGGGTGACAGCTGCAGTTCTACAGTGAGCTCACCTGAGTAACTTTGCCTATGTAACTTTACTCTGATAACAATATTAGCAATGGCAGTAATGGTAATGTTAAGAATAATTTTTTTAAAAGTGGATAGAGGGAATATAGCCAGGCACAAGTCTCTCAGGGACCACTCAATACAGGAAAATTTTCACTTTACTGGATTTTCTAAGTGCTCTTTTTTTGCATTCTTGGATTTAGAACACTGCTGAGATACTGTGAGATCTAATAAGATCAGAAGTAAGATCTTTGGGCACAGTAATAATCTTAATGAGTTATTGTCAAGGTAAGGAACAGGCAGCAAATGGAAGAAAGGCTGAAATGAAGCCAAGTGAGGAGTTTCTCTGCTACAGACAATATAGAAACTAATAATAAAATTACTTTTCAAAGACTCCCTTGCAAGTCTGGATTAGTGACTGAAGAGGAAAAGGCTAGAGCAGCACAGGAGTATCGAAGAGTTTGTCCAGGGCCAGCACACATAATATAGCAGATATTCTAGCTAAAGCTTCAAGTGAAACAGTACTGTAATGTGGACTTTACTGGTTCTTCTCAGTTCCTAGAGCAGTTTAGGAGTGGGAGGCCACAGAGGTTGGATGTTTGAATTCAACACGGGATGTCCATCTCTAGAAATCAGATTCTTCACAAATGTTCTTAATTGATCACCTAGATAGTATAAACAGCAACCATCAGGAAAAAAACACAGGGCTAGTAAATATATTATGGGAAGCTCTGCCTGGGCTGATATACAGTGACATAAAACTGGAGTGGCACCATGAGAATGAAGATTATAGTTTTACTCCCTAACTACAGGTTTGATGTACATCTCTAAGTATTTCTTAATTATGCTGAAATTAGGAGTGGGACATGAATGGAGGAGTAATTGAAAGTATATTTCTACAGATAAACAGTAGAACAGCGTAACTTTTAATTACTGCACCTGCTGAATTAAATTAATACTTCAAGGAAGTTGTTACAGCCATAGGTTTCATCAAGGCTCAGAGGGCTATGAATCATCAAAGGACCTAGTCATATCTTGTCAGTTAAATATTCTTAGTTTTAGTTCAGAAGGCTCAAAAATCCATGCAGTAAGAGAAGATCATGCAAAATAATGTTATCATCTCTGTGAATAACAGGTAATTCTGGAATCAATGATATGAACAATAGTTAATGTGCTACATCAAGACTAAATTGCATCTTACATTTTAGTTCTGAAGAATGTTTTCCATTGTGAAAGTGAAGCTGCTCAAGGAGAACACAAATCAGATGGTGAGAGAGTGAGGGCACTGAGACCAGATCCATAGTCAAGCATGGGTGACTTTGAAACCACACATAGGAACAAAAATTTCACCCTAAGCAGAGAAACTTTTTTCCAGAAATGAGAATGTGTACAGGGGGAGAGCTGCATAGAGATTACCCAGCACACCCTTCTTATGAGAAGTCAAACCAGGGATAGCAAATGGGAATGGCAGAAAGGATATGGTTATTGGATCATGTTGTCCACATGGTATTGGATCACTGCAATGGCTCTATGCCTCTGCTGAACTTTAGAGCTGCATCTCATTGTCTACATACCGAGCAAGGATCTGGAGGGGTCTGAGAACTACCCTTTCCTACAGATCACCTCCACAGCACAGTGGGTAAGTGTAAGACCATAGAGGAAGTGAGCTGTTAAGAAAGACATTTGTTTTCTTACATTCTTGTCCTCGTATCTTTGCCTTCCATATTGCACAGTCATGTGCTGAGCATAGGGTGGTGATTACCAGTTGGGAATGGTAAGCTATTATAATTGCTCTGCACAGCTGAAAACACCCACCAGTAATTTTCAGGCAATAGAGAATCAGATCCTCATAGTTAAATAACGTGGTTTGTGGACAGCAGCAGGTTCTGGTATTTAATGTTCACCATTCTGGCATCATGGCAGGATTCCCACACACTGCATTGACTGTGGCACAAGGGTGATTGAGCTGATGTTTCCAGGTCAGTTACTGTTTAAAAAAATTCCCTAGAAAGGACACTAGTTTACATGCCTCATTAAAACTCCATCAGCACATTACACAGCTCCAGGTTGTAAACCATGCCAGATCAGGACCTTTCATTCTTTAGATGGATGGAAGTAATGATGCCAGCAGTGACAGGGTATGCATTGTGATTAGGCATTGTGACCAGGAGGCAAGACTTTTGAAAAATGATCTTCCAAAGACCATTGCAGGTAACACAGGAGGTGCTGGGAACTTTTCTGCATCACTGAGTCTGTTTCATTGACTCAAACATTCCACTGATAAATGTGATTGCACTTTTCCCTCACTCAGCAAATACAGTGACTGGCAGAGTAAAGCAAACTTTAGCATCTGTGTTTATATCCATTGATCTATACCTTGTAAGTGTTATGCCACTTGAGAATCTCTATGAGAACAGATAATTTATAACAGCAAGGAGATGAACTGCTATCCATCTTACTCCTCTCTTAATGTAAGTTGGTTAGTTTCCTTCATTACTGACCATAGTACTCAAGTTGAGCCCAGATAATAGGGCAGACTTTCATTTCTAAATAAACAATTAAAGCTATCCTGCATTTGTAATTCCTGAAAGACAGTTACCTTTTCCTCAGTATTTTTTTCTGCATAAAGGAGTTTGAGGCTTCAGACCTGTATGAAAAGCTGACAAATTCTGTAATGAGCTCAATCATTGTCACATCAGTGGCAAGCATGCAAGGACTTTTGGCATTACCAGCAAAAGAAGTGGCAAAAGACTATAAATGGAGACCAAACAACCTTCCTACAACTGGAGGAGGCAAGGACATCAGTGGAAGATCATCCCCCAGATGCGCAGAGATGATTAGCCTTTTTCAAGATCTCACTTTCAGAAAAGACATATGCAATGAACTTGCAGAAGAGAAGCTTGAGGAAATTGCTTTGAGGTGTATTATAGAAATCGAAGAGGTTAAAAACCATAAGCACAGTTTCTCAGCTCAAATGTACTTTCTTGGTTGTCTGCATCTGAACGTATTGATCCATTCCTGGCTTTGCAGCTCTAGATCTCTGCAAGCCTCCTTGTAAATCCTAACAAAGGCATACTCTTAGCCCAGTTCTACCAGATTCCCTCCATCTCTCAGGGTTCTTAACATCCTCATTATTCATAAGTAAGCAGATTATCAGCCAAAATGTGCCGTGATGAGAAAGTCTTGGAAATTCTTTTAGGTTTGTAGAAGGTAACTTCTTGTCACGGGCACTCAGTAAACTAACTAGGAAAGATGTCCTCCTCTACTTGCTATTTCTGAATAGAGAAGGACTCAGGAATGTGGTGACAGGTGATTGTCTTGACCACAGTAATCATGCAGTTGAGTTTAAAATATTCAGTCTAACAAGAAAAAAAGGACAGCAGAGTATCTCCCCTGGACTTCAGGAGAGCAAACTTTAAGCTATTCAGGGAGTTACTTAGCAGAGTACCCTGGGAAACTGCTTTTAGGAACCACCTTTTTGAAGCGCAGTACCAGGCAATTCCACTGTGTCATAAGTCAAGCAAGTGGGGCAGAAGACCAGCTTGGCTGAACAGGAAACTCCTCATGGAGCTCAAGATGAAAAACAGATTGTATGATCTCTGGATACAAGGTCAGACTTCACTGGAAGATTTACAGAGCCACTGTTTATTTATGCAGGGAGCAGACATGAAAGGCTAAAGCTCAATTAGAGTTGAAACTGCCCAGTGTTGTTTCACATAACAAGAAAGGCTTTTTAAAGTACACTAATAACAAGAAGAGTCTAAAGAAAACACTAGACTGATACTTGCTGAAGATTATTCTCAGACTAATAAGGAGAATAAAAAGCTGAGGCATTCGATGTTTTTTTTTGCCTCAGTCTTTAATAATACTGATAGACTTTGGGCTGCCCGTTGTCCTGAGCCAGAGGACCATGACTCTGGGAATAATGACTTTCCATTTGTGGCCACTGAAATTGTAACGGACCAGCTGAATGTTCACAAGTGCATGGAACCTGATGTGATTCATCCTAGAGTTCTGAAGGAGCTAGCACATGTTATGGCAGGACCTCTCTCAATCAACCACCAAAGGTCTTGGGAGTCTGAGGAAGTCCCTGCTGACTGGAAGCTCGCCAGTATTATTTCAGTTTACAAGGAGGGTGGGAGGTAAGACCAAGATAACTACAGACCTGTTAGTCTAACCTCAGTTCCCGGAAAAAAATTTGGAGAAGATTTTACTGAGTACTGCTAAAAGACATTTGATGAACAATGCCGTCGTCAGGCACAGTCAGCATGGCTTCACAAAAGGAAAGTTCAGTCTAACTAATTTGATATCCCTCTACAATGAGGTCATCCACCTAGGGAGTGAAGGGATGGAGGTGGATGTAGATTTTCTGGATTTTATTAAGGCTTTTGGTACTGTCCCTCACCTCATCCTTCTGAACAAGTTGACCAGCCATGAGATGAGCAGGTAGGTGGTGCATGGGGCTTCTGAAGAATTGGCTGAGGGGCAGGACTTAAAAGGTTGCAGTGAATGGGGCTACATCCAGTCACCAGAGCTGTTCCTCAGGGCTTGATTTGAGGCCCAGTTCTCTTTTTATCAACGATCTGGATGCAGACATTGAATGCACCATTAGCAAGTCTGCTTGTGGTACCAAACTAGGAGGTGCTGGGGACTCTCTCCAAGGCAAAAGAGGCCTTGCAGTGAGATCTGGATAGACTGGAGCATTGGACGGTCATCAAAGGGATGAATTTTAACAAGTCCAAATGCCGAATTCAGCACCTGGGATGGGGTAATGCCAGGCACAAGTCTTAACTGGGAGAGGAGTGGCTGGAGAGCAACCCTGCAGAAGGGCTCCTGGGGTGCTGGCTGACAGGAGGCTCAGTGTGAGTTAGCAGCGTGCCCTGGCAGCCAGGAGGGCAAACTGCATCCTGAGGACCACCAAACAGCATCAGCAGCTGGCCAAAAGAGCAGGAATCAGCCAAGCGCCCCGGCAGGGGGGAGAGCAAATTGCATCCCGGGGTGCATCAAACACAGCACAGCCAGCAGGTCACAGAGGTGATTATCCCACTGTGTTCAGTGCTGATGCAGCCTCTCCTTGAGTATTGTGTGTGGTTCTGGAACCCACCATACAAACAGGATGTTAAGGTACATGAATATGTCCTGAGAAGAGCAACAAAGCAGATGAAGGGGCTGGTAGGCACGTCCTATGAGAGAGGAGTAGCTGAGGGCATGAGGTTTGTCTGGTTTGGAGAGGCAGAGGCTGAGGATTGACCTCACAACTCTCTATAGTTTCCTGAGGTGGGGAAGTGGAGAGGGACGTGCTGATCTCTTCTCTCTGGGATCCAGTGATAGACCATGTGGGAATGGCTCAAAGATGCACAGGAGGGGTTCAAACTGGACATTAGGAAGCATCACTTTACCAAGGGAGTGGTCACGCCCAGGAAGAGGCTTCCTGGAGAGGTGGTCAATGCCCTATGCATGTCAGTGTTAAAGAGACATTTGAACAATGCCCTTAATACCCAGTGCTTTTACTTTTGGTCAGCCCTGAATTGCTCAGGCAGCTGGACTTGCTGATCACTGCAGGTCCCTTCCAACCAGATTCATCTATGTTATTCTGTTCCCTTCAAAATGCATTCCATTACAATCCTACAGTCTTCTAGAGGTAATTGTAAAAATATGTGGGTTTTTTTACTGAAAGCTATAATTTCTCCTTTAAAATCTGAATTGTCTTTAATGTGATGGTCACCAGTGCAGAGCTAACTTTTCTGTTTTGCTAACCGTGAACACATCTTTAGATGTGTCGATAATCTCAGCAGGTTGTATTCTGGACTTCCAGCCATTTGTTACTTTGTTGAAAGATACAGTGCTTATCTTGAAAATAAAAAAACCTAACCTATATTTTTGTTTTTTCTGAAATGGTGTAATTCAGTTTGCTGTTATGCAGTGTTAATACACTCTTCATCTGTTGACTCAGGGATTATTTTTCCTGTATGTTGCCAAAGGACTTTTCTGCCAACATCTTGTAGAGTAATTCCATTTAGTTTTATTTTTCTTGATTCATGTTTGGATTAAGTAAATCAGGACACTACCATCTTCATTTTAAATTAAGTAGTAATCTATGTGCTTCTTTTCAGGCAGTACTCTGCCGAGATGGGGATAAATTCTAAACCCACAGACCAAGAAATGCAGTATTGCCAGCTCTGGTTGCAATCTGTGGATATTGTACTGGGGATGCAAGGCCACAGGCTTGCCAGTCTAGCACTCCTTTGGACCCTGCCTCAAGTTTTGTTTTACTTGGTGTAACTGAAACATCATGTTCTTATCATGGCGGGGG